TCGAACCGCTGAAGCGTCGACCATTTCTGGTCAGCAACTTTCAGCGTCATTAAGCCGCTGCACCACCGCGTCCCCTTTTCAATTATCTTACATTTACTCAAATAATTGAAATCAGTAAGATTTATTTCTGAATAAACATAGAGTAATTGAGAAGATACATTTCTATTAGCTCTCTCTTGAATTTAAAATACCATCAAATATAACTTCTGGTGTGTTGTCTGTAAAACTCAACACAAAATAACATTATAATCCATATCTGCTGTCTAATATCTTTTGTGCTTAGTAAGAAATAAAACCTATTTCAATTATATTAATTTTCCCAAATGCTTATTTGAAGCTAAGTTACAAGTTTGGATTATGCTCCTGATTTTTATTTAAACAGACATGAAGTTAGATGTAAGGTATTTACTAAGTGCATTTTTACCTTTTTTTCTCATGTCCAATTGAAAACAGTCATGTTGGACATGAGAAAACAGGTAAAAATTATATTGAATTATCATTTTATTAGACTAATGCAAGATTACAAAATATCGTGACGGCATTTGATTTTTCAAGAATGCTTCATCAAGCACAATGTTCTGTGATGTGCAGATAGACTCTTGAGCATATATGATAATAAGCAAATTAGACAGCAGTGAAAAAACCCAGATTCCTCAAGCTGCTTTCCTGGCATATCTTCACATCACAAAGCTTTGTTGTTTTTAATCACTCATTGGTGCCACAGTTCCTGTGGCTAGTTTTCAATGAAGTGTTTATATCTTAACCAAGTACATCCTGTTTTGGCTTCTGCTATCAATTGTCACATGGACTGCCACAAGGGTAACAGCCTAAGTGTTTTGCAGAGAAAGGAATGTGGTGAAAATGCATTGCAGGAAACAAAACAGCTCAGAAACCTTGCCAGCGATCCAAAGAATATGTGATTATGATGTCTTTAATTAAAAATGGAAAGCTTTTTCAAATTTTCAGAAATGAACGCCGATCTGGTATGATTTCCCCATTTCTCTCATCTCAGTTTCAGATGTTCTGTTGTTTATCTCAGATGCTCAGTCTCTGACTATCTAAAATATAGATTAAAAAGTGTAAAGGTCTGACATATGTAGCCGACCCCAAATGGAAGATTTGCTTCATTGCTACTTATATTAATCTGGGAGAGAATTTCTTCACGAGATATTGGGCTTCTATGAGCTTGATTCTGAGGAGTAAATAATGTACTAACATTAGATCATATTGGCCAGACCCTCCAATGTATGGTTTGTTTCTTTTCTTCAGTAGTCTTAAATAGATAAGCTAATTATTTAAATTAGATAAGCTAATTATTTATTTAATTATTTAAAGACTATTTGCAACTGGTGATTAATTGCAACTAGAACCAGGTACCACTTGCAATTAATTAGGAGCATTTTTTCTGTAAAAAACCTAAAACAGGAAACGTGTCTCTTTATCACCATACCCATACAAGATCCTTTTTCTCTTCTTTGGGCCAAAGAAGAGAAAAAGGATCTTGTAGGGTATGGTGATAAAGAGACAAGTTTCCTGTTTTAGGTTTTTTATAGAAAAAATGCTCCTTCATCAGTAATAACTGGGAAATGTTTATGAAGGTTGCCCTACATGCACTTTCATATAGCAAAAGATATATTGTCCTTCTACAGTTACATGGAAATATACTGACTGCAAGGAAGAAAGATGTTGAATATTGTGAGAAACATAATTAAGATGCTCAGCTAGGAACATAATCGGATTTTTAAAAGAGATATTATTTGCCTTTTATTAATAGAATACTATTACAGATTGTATTTTGATGAACAGGAATACAGAAGCATGTACACATATATGCTTTGAGCAAGTCTGCCCTCATGGGGGGCAGACATAAGATAAAACCAAAAATAATAATTAAAAAAAAACCCTGTTGGTTGCAATAAAGAACATCGGCAAGTGAACAATGTATTTTTCTACAATACTGAAAGGTAGCCTTTATATTTTATTTAAATACATGCTAAAACAAAGCAAGAAAATCAGCAATTCTGGAAACCCATCATTTATGTAGCTATTGGGAATTAGATCTGCTTATAAAACATCTCTCTCTTCCCCACTTTTAACCGGAGCCTTAAGGCCAAGGTTTTTTAGTATATTAATCCTTGCCATTTTGTATGTACTATCCATGTAGGCTGGATAGAATCATACTGCCACACATTATAATTGATTACTTCTAAATTACATCAATTTTTAATTGCATGGAGTTAACCAACTATTTTCTTTTCTTGACATCTTTTCTCGCATTTCCTGTGCTATCATCTAGATTCTCACTCCATATTTAGGAATTCCTTTATAGCAACCTTTATCCCTTTTTCCCCATTTCTTTTATTCAACCTTATCAACCCTATGCATCTTCACTTGAAAATACGATCCTCTGAACTCAGTGAGATGTACTCTCATGAATGACTGCATATGCTTTACATTTCACAGATGAAATGCAATAAAGGTAATGTCTCCATCAAGTCATGCTTGACTCCTAGTGCATGCATGGACAAGCCAATGTTAATTTCTTGGCAACAACATGGAAAGATTTTGCCACTGTCTGACCCTGTTGCTATACAAAGGATCAGTACTTGAGCTGATCCACTTTTTCCCTCACAATAAAAATAATGTGAAAGCTTCTATTCCAGCCTTCCTCAACCAAATACCTTCCAGATGTATTGGGACAGCCCTCAGAATTCCCAGCCAGCATGGCTATTGGCCAAAGTTTTCTGGTTCCAGCACATCTGGAGGGCATCAGTTGAAGGTGATTCTAATCCAGTTGTTAAATGTTGCATTATTTCAGATGGCTTACTAAGCAGAGTTGGGTCTGGTTAAGACTTGGATGGGAGATGTTAATGGAATTCCACAGCTGTAGACTAGATTGGAATCAAAAAAACATACCAGAAGGAGCAAAGCCTATATGATAAATACAGTGTATTTATGTGCAGTTTTAGCAATTAGAGATGTGATGTTGTCAGAGTCTGCATACTCAGTTCCCAAGTTCAGTAATTCCTCTGGACTCCATTTGGTTCCATCAAAGATTTCTTTATTTGAGAAGTAGCATAGAGCAGCTATAGATTGTTGAGTCTAACTGTCCTCAGCCAAAAGCTTTCCTTTTAACCCCCTCCCCCTCCCTTCTGCTCTACTTTCCCGCTTGAAATTCTTCGTGCCTTTCTCCTGGTCTCACGACTGCTTGACCTTGTTGGCACCTCTAGCCAAGATAACGGTTGCACCCGCTTGAATGTTTTCCTCCCTCTTCTCTCCTGACTTTTATGGCAGGAACAAGCAAGCGGGCCTCCAATTAACCATTCTAATATTTAACCCTGTCAACTATGCATCACTATTCTACATTTCAATTATGCTTTGATTTTATTCTGACAGATGTTGAGATAGAGTGGTAACAAGAACTCATAATATTGAGGCTAAAATATGGCAGCATTTTACACCTCATTTAAAAAATTTTTTA